ACATTGCAATAACGACCTATTCTGGTAGATAATAAAGGTTATATATACAACTAATAGAACATATTTGAATATAGACAACCATGACAGGTGCCATGAACTATAAAACAGTTTTAAGTCACATGTAAACTTCGGTGATTTTTTCATTGTGTCTTTGGTAATGGCGATAAAAATATAAATCTTTGTCACACGATTGATTCCGCCGAGAAAAGCCATTAATGTCCCTTGAGGTACACTAGGGATGAGAATTGACGCACAGATCGACAACATTTATTGTCTCTTTAAAACAATATATTTTTTCTTCCACAAATAAATTTGTGCAATTTATGTTATATACGGTATAACCATTTTATGACATATGTGAGCATAGATTAATTTGAGCAATCGGCCACGTGTGTATTTCACAAAAACACAAATAGCCCATTGCTTTTTTATTTCTTTATTTATTTTATTTTATTTTATTTTATTTTATTTTATTTTATTTTATTTATTTATTATTGTTATTTTTTCCAAGGGAAGGTACAAGTTTTCTGGGTTTGGAGCAATGTACTATTTTGCTGCCAAACTGCTATCGGATGAAGATTTCCTGAAGACACAAACATACCCCATGTCGATATTTCCTTCAGAACGTTATATCCCACAAAACAGAATTGTTACCCGTGTTGAAGGCTTGTCGCGCCGTCTACAGGAGATAATTGCAGTACGCGGTACAACGCACACGCTGTTAGGCACGTGATCTTTAACGAGCACACCCTAATGCTCATTGTGTGTGAATTTTGCGACATGTGATGGCGTTTTTTCAATTTTATAGACATTTCTTTACATCTGTAGAAGTCTCAGTGAAACAGTGGATTTGAGGGTGTACCTCTTATAATTTTTACTAAATGGTATAAAATATGTATATTTTCACCATTATTTTGTTTTCTTGTAACCATTAATCATGTTAGACACGGAATATGTAATAAAAAGCACTAGTCCTAACAATTTACAGCTGTGAGGTGATCATTTGTAAATGAAAGTACATGGAAATAGGGGGTGGGACCAATGTTGTAAACTCAATTAAACACCACCGGCCATTTTTCTTAATATGAAATGAATGCGACGTCAATTTCTTTTATGCACAGTGCATGCCTTAATCGTCAAATGCTCGGACGATGGATATGATTTTACATGACCAGCGAGTCATTAAGAAGTAATCGTTTTGATTAAAATGAGACAACCACCCCCCCCTCCCCCAAGCCACGTGCAGAGACGGATAGAACGATGGACTATGGGTCAGAGAAAGATATTTTTCCTCAAGGAAAATTAGCTTTGGTGCGTAAATCCAGGATTGGTAACCTTTAATAACACTACAGAGAATGTCATTACTTTTCAATTACTGTGATGTTAGATATGCCATGGACTAAACACAAAATAATGAGGATGTACTAAATAATTTAAAATTAACTAAGTTGTTATTGCACACCGTCAACAAAAGACAATTATCTTATATCGGTTACATCAGGAGAAAAGATCATTTGCAGCAGTTGTTAATAGAAGGAATTTAAGTTCAATGAGAAACAATGGAATACGAAGAAAGGCATGAATGGACAACATAAAAGAATAGGCCGATAAAATGGTGCAAGATGGAAAGACATGGCGATCCATGACAGCCAAACTGCTGACAGTGAATGGCACCCAATGATGATGAGGATTTATTCAGGATTACTGGGACACGATTGAAGCGCGTTTATTTTAATAAACATTAAAATTTTAACATTAAAATGTTAATCTGCTCTCGGGTTTTGGATCCTTGTTCTTAATTTCCTGCATCATTTCCTGTATTATAATGTATTCCTTGATAAAATTAACCTGACTGATAATGACAATAATCCACTAAAACCTCATTGCACGAGATAAAATGCAAGTTGGGTCAAGAAGATTACATGTATGTGAACAAGGTTGTATGAGGTGTATCTCTTCAGAACTCATTCATAACTCTTGCTACACAGCTATGCAGGGTTTTTAAGCAAATTGTCTCGTCAAGTTCTTTTAAGTTTGACCTTTTAGTTTGGTTTATACTTTCATGCCATTTTATTGTCTAAATAACGGAAAATCTCAAGAGCGGTTTTAACAGGGATGGTTGTCCTTGGGATAGTAACCCGTTGAGACCCCTCAGAGTACTAATACTACCGGTGTGACAGGAATAGTAGTCCGCTAAGAACCGTAGCCCGTTTCCCATTACTTTGCACAGGTGGCATTCGTCCCATATACTAACCCTAAACCTCTGACTAACTCGAACCTGTACTTACCATATGGGACCCCAAACTTACATTCCTAGGACAACAATTTTTGTCAGACCGGGTTGTCATGTGGTAAACTTTGGTCAGGGATAGCCGGAAGTACCGGGTTCAGTACATGGGGCAAATGCCACCTATACAAATTGTGGATAACGGAGTGCGTTTCTAAATTAGGACACTACCATTCTTGTCACAACGGCGATCTTTCCCTTCTCACTGTAGGTTCCAGCAAAGGTCAACGTTTATGGTGTAGAATCTGACGCGTTTATTCCTTCTGGATATTCCTTTAAGTTAGCATATTTTCACTCAGTTTGCACAGAATAACACTCGAAAGGGACTTATGTTCCACAGTTGGCTATTAATGTCATTCTGCAGTATTTTATACGTTGAATTAGCAGACATTGGCGTCACTAACAGGTGGTATCCTGTCCCTGTAAACTGATTACTTAGCACGTCTTGTTTTCTGCTATTGTGGAATTGCCAAAATCAATCCATGCTAATTTCTGGCTAAGTCTCTTCTGGATTGACCATGCACAAAGGTCTAAGTTCAAGTATCAATGGTGGTCTGACTATTATTGATGTTCCAGCTTATCCCGACTTTGAAAAAGCCGTAATTGAAGGCCTTTCAGAAACTCTGTATTTGCTGCCACATATGCAGTAGTAGACCACCGCAATCAATTTTGAGTTAATAGATTAAAACAACTTAGCTTTGTTTATAAGCACAGTTATGCCCTGGAGGCGGTTGGTAGAATCTTTAAAACAAGGAGCAATAGAATGAAATAATTGTTTTTCTTTTTTTTTCACATAGAAAAAATCTCAATGGCTTACATATGTATGACCTTTTGTTGTGCTGGACCGAATTTGTCTTTACGCTGAAAATAGAACACAATATTAAAAAGTGTAGCTCGTACAGAATACATACATTTGGGTTTGGTGAAAACTGTATTCAGAAGGCCGAATCTTAAAATCTAACTGCGTTATAAAGTTTCATGGCTTTCAAACACTACCTTTAATTTTTTTATAGTCAATACTTTTGACAAGTGGTGTGGTTTCCCTGGGGTGAGTCTTTTAAGACACTTAATAAATGACTCCTCTACTCCATGCGTTAAGTAGTAATGTAGTCCCTCCTAACCCCCAACACCGTCCCAACCCCCAAAGCACCATATAAAAAAAAACAGTTCTGACTATCTGTTCAATTAAATAGAGTTCATTTTTAATCCACATTCCCACGCTCTTTAAGTATTCCTTCAAAATACATGCGTTTCAGACGCCGCGACTAGTCTACCTGATGAAACTGACCTCAAACTGAATGCTTTTGAAGATCGTGCCCGTCCGTGTGGAAGCTGTAAAACTGCTGTAGGCCAGTTATACACTCGGTGTGACCTCTAGTTAAAGAAATCAGTTTGAGTACAACTCAGGCTGTGAGAAGGTACGGCTTAAAGGTGCGCAACGTGAGGTTTTCCAGAGAAAATGTCATACTTTCGGATTTTCTTGGGGTAAATGGAAATTTGTACCCCGACTATTTGAGATTTGATATTCCCATCCAAACCCTCATCTTGGCTCTGTAAATATGCATAATAATGGGCCTTTCAGCGGTTCTTAAGTGTGTTTTTTCAAATTCGCATGTCACTGCCACTCCAGCACTGACATCCGGGTTACGTGCAATTCAAATACTTGACAGATGGCTAGAGCCGACAGGAGGTGATAAATTAGATTATGTTGGCGACATGAATTCATGACATTTATCTATATAAAATAACACTTGTCCAAAGATATCTTCAACAAGAAATAGTTTATGTACTTTAAATTGAAAGAAAAATCACATGTGTTTGGAATCTTACACTCTGTCCCTTCAGCTCATTACTTATTGAAAAAGAATTACTAGGATAAAAATCCAATTCTGCCTGCCCCCCCCCCCCCCCCCCGTGTAAAAAAGATTAAAGTAAGTCCTTCGTAGTACATAGCGTGTACATAAAAATCTACGGGGGTTTCGAGTGAAATCTATATATATCCCTCGTTGACACTTCATTACATTCTTCCGAGATGTTTTTGACTTGATTACTGAGGGTGAGCTGAGATAAAGGATACAATTTTCGTTAATCTTTTCGGTCTGAGGCGATCACAGGCGGCGGTTGGGTCGATATCCAGTAAAAAAATAGCCCATGGGTTTACTGTTTAATAATTGTTTTGGGTCACAATTGCACCGACACCTTGCATTTGAGTGTTCGGAGGCTAATCTATTTCTCCCAGCTTGTCTGCAAAAAAAGTCAAAATAGACTGAAAGTCTTTCAGTCGATTTTCAAAGCGAGCGAGCGAGCGAGAGAGAGAGAGAGAGAGAGAGAGAGAGAGAGAGAAAGAGAGAGAACGAAAAAGGAATGTATGTCACAAAAACCAAGCAAATTTCATAGTGCTCTACAGGGATATCTGTGTACTATACTCGTTCACCACATTCATCAATTTTTCCTGAGCGACATTGTTTCACACTCTATCCCAATAAGCCTGATCCAACTCACAATAATAATAAGCGGTGTCTTAACATATACCGACATGATAGACAGGCGGCACAACGCCAAGTAGATGTAACGGCAGGTGATGCCGCTCTTCGCAAACGAATGATTATGCCTAGTATTTTACCGCATAAATCGATACCCGAGCAGAACTCATAACGCAAGAAACACCTACGGAACAACCATAAAAGTTATTAAACTGCTTCAGATATGACGGAGTTAGCAACAGTGAGCGATAGACTTTAAATACTTTGGCCAACAGATACGATAGCCATAACAAAGCTGATATCTTGACATATCGTTACCTGAAACACGTTATAGAGGATTTTATCTCTACATTTTATTTAACGTTTTAAAAAGCAGATTTTTGCTCTGTTGGCCATATTCATGGATATGGGAAGTAACATAAGCAGTCGATTGTGATTATAATTATCGTTTTGAAGTTAAATGTTAAAACACAGGTGTTTCGCCGCTTTAGCAGACGCTGCGTATGATTTCTGTCATCTTGTGCCGGAGAACAGCAACAAGCTGTTGCCTACAAGCTGTTAAACAGAACTTTTGATAAGTATCCCAGGATGGCTTTCATTGGCCGGTAATTGCTGACCAGACCTGCGTTCAAGCTTGATCAAATGTGCACCGGTTGACCACTGAGGGGAAAAAAGACTATGAATTTTAACTATAGCGAAAGTTTAAACTTGACTGTGACCTTAGATAACCGGACGATTGGTGACCGTAAGCAATTCAATGGAACGCTGGAAATTTATGAATTCCATCAGGTTAGCATCAGGTTGTTTGCTGCTGTTGCGTGCGTGTGTGTGTGTGTGTGTTTGTGTGTGTGTGTGTGTGTTGTGTGTGTGTGTGTGTGTGTTGTGTGTGTGTGTGTGTGTTTGTGTGTGTGTGTGTGTGTGTGTGCATGTGTGTGTTGGGGGTGCGTTTGTGTGTGCTTGTGTGTGTGTTTGAGTGTTTGTGTGTGTGTGTTTATGAGTGTGTGTGCGTTTGTGCACGTGTATGTATGTGCGTGTGCGCTTTCAATTGCCTTTCTTTTTCATATAACATAACGGGCATTGTATCGTAAACATTATTATTTTTCTATTTATTTGTTCCTTTATAAATTTAATCTGTTTATCTACAAATCTGTATTTGCAATTTTGTCATTCAAGACATTTATACTATCACTAAATTTGCCAGCATTTTCGTGAAAATCTCAAAGACCTAATTGGGGCAACTTCACCGAAAATATTCTTCTCGCCAAAGAGTAACCTCATTTTTCAGCATATGGTAACCATTTTTCTATTTTCAGTGCTAGAAAACTTGATACATTTCTTGATATTTTAGCGCACGACACATTCTGCGGTGGCTCTTATTCGTTGCAAAACATAGAGAGCGGGATAAAAGTCTATTATAAATGCACTATAGGCAGAGGCAATGTTTTTTGAGTCTGCTGTTCTTTGTGGCAGTGTTTGTATAATTTTTTGCAAGGGATTAAGTGTGTGTGTGTGTGTATGTGTGTGTGTGTGTGTGCGTGCGTTAGAGAGAGAGAGAGAGAGATAAGGGGAGCATCCTCTGATATCAGGGGCTTATAAATTTAGTATACAAAATTTAATTATGAGAGGCAAAAATTGTGTACCAGACTCCTAGCGCACCCGTGGTCAGAGAGTAAGGAGGGGGTAACGCAGAGAGAGAGCGAGCGCGAGAGAGATATTGACATGGACTTCTTAACAAAACTTGAGTGTTCTTGTCACTGACATTTGCAAAAATCAGTCCTGTTCTCCTTAACAGATGTAGTAGACACGAGGCATTAGATCGCGAGATATCATAAACAAGAGGTTCCAAACTAACCAAGCCGCGTACACTCTGCGGAATATGTCGTTAATGTAGCAATTTATTTGGGAAGGGGAGTGGAGGGGATAAGGACTGTATGTAAGCCATATTCGCTACATATATCTCTCAAAATCTGTTCAATTTTCTGGGAATCCGCAAAACAAGGTTAAGTCAAATGTTGAGAAGCCCCGTTATCCGCAAGAGCTGTCGCTTGATGCCATCTCGAACTGAATTAACCCACACCGCTGAGCACTATTTCAAACTTGAGGCTTATCTACCGTAGATAATATTTTAGAATATGATCATTTTTTTCACAATCTGTCCATAGTTTCGTGTTTTATCTCAGTTACTTCAATATATGAAATTGAACATAAATTTTTTTTTTGTTTTAACGTCAATCACGGGCAAGCAAAAATATCTTAAAGATCCATATAACACGAGTGAAAATGTCAAATTATTGTCGCTCTATCCGACAAAATGCCACCACATATTTTAGTTTCGAAAAATATAACTTAAAAAATGCCAAAGGGTTCTGTTACATGTATATTATTAAATCTCGAAAATGATATTGGCACAGATGTGTTCTACCTACTCTCTGTATCTTACGGTCTCTTTTACGTCGAAGGTTTTGAAGAAAGTGCAGTTTTAAAGCCGTTTTACTGCCGCCCGAGAGATTAATTAAATTTCTTCTTCTCCTCCGTCTTCTTTTTTATGTGGACTTCACTCGTGTTACCCAAGAAACTTGTGCTCATAATTTACTTAAAGGCATAATAACTCTTTGTATGAGACCTATATTTCACAATAAAAACCTTGTGAATAACTCACAGAAATATAATATATTCTGTTTTACAACAAAAACAGCAGCTATAGCTTTTATTCTGATATTTGAACTTGTCTTTAGACCACGTGACCTCCATTGATGTCTATACTTTGTTAAAATCTCTTAAGAGATTTTAACAAAAAACCAAACTTTTTAGAAAAAAACCAGGGACTAACTTTGAATGTAAAAATGGATTCAATAACCATTGGTAAGTATGGGAAAATTGTTGTTTACTCCAGGAAAATTCATTTTTTGGCCGAAACGAAGAGTTATTATTGCTTTAAGTTACAGGGCATTTACTCTCGCTTCTTATGTATCTTTAAGAAAGATAGATAGACGAATGGGCTTATAAGAAGACAGACAGAGAAGCAAGCTGGCAAACAATCGGTTAATTCCACTATCCTTACAGTTGAGTTCTCATTACTTACCCACAATATATACCCTGTAGTATTCAGTGGAATGTTGGTTTCCCACCGCTGTCGGCTAAGCATTCACATGGGATCGTGAGGCCACATTCTCTCCAAATACATAAATACAAAAACAGGAAAATACAGGAAAATCAATCAAGCTGTCATGAAATGAGAGTGAGAAATATTTGTTAAGAAAACACGGTATCGCTGCATGTGTTATAACATGATTATGTAAACTCATTGGTATGGAAACATTCAGGAAGTTTTTCTGTTACAAGATTTTTTTTCGTTTTTACCCAAAGGTTTTACCAGAAGAATTGACTTCTTATATGGTACGTGGGATTTATTTTCAATTGATAGGTAGCACAAATCACCTTCTTGGCCGTGCTGTTTTGCCTTATTACGGTGGGGAACCTATTGGTGCTGGCGACGGTAATTCAAGAACGCAGAAACGGAAAGAGACTTCGCATGAATTTCTTCGTTCTCCATCTGGCGCTGGCTGGTAAGTGACCTTAAGTGACCGTAAGAAAAACATACAAACTTTTTTTAATATTCTGGATCTTCCAGTTAATCTCATGATTTGCCTTGTCCGATCTATAGGGAGCCTGTCTCAGGAATAAAGAAAAAAATTAAAAATATGAAAAGTTGTATTTAAAACTGCTCTAAAGGTATTTGAAATCGGATTAATGGGTTGTTTTCAGGATATGAATTCAATAACTGCCACTGCCAATTTGAAATATTGGATATCCTTACCTGCCCCACTGTTAACCTTTCTAAGAAGTCCGTCTACATAATCAGGCTACATAATTGCTGTTATTATTAGGGTTCTAATTAGTGTCCCATAGCCACTTGACATATAGTCTTTATTAATTTTCGTGCGATTTTGACTCAATATAACTGCCATTGTCAATTTGTCGTCAGGGAAAGAAAATAAAGAAGACAACAAAGTGTGCTTTATTGGCTGGTGATTATTCCTGTGTTCACGAACCCACAGTTAGACTGGATTTCCATCCCTAGATCGATCTAACAGGTTCCGTCCAATTCCACGGGGTTTCTCGCTGAATTGCTTTCAGCTTAAGTGGCTTAGACATCTGGCACGCCTGCTAAAGCTGCTAAACGATAGTTAATTATCCCCGATCAGCTTCAGTAGACATGATAGACATCTAAGCCGCCTTAGTTTATTGCAATTAAGCGAGAATCCCCTTGGAGATAGTTCGATCCAAAGTAAGTACGATAGTCTCTGGGAATGGTCTCTTAGTTAATTCTGGGCAATTCCACATTGCTGTTGCGTCTGTTACATTTTTTCCATCGTCACTTCACATCAACACTAATTCGAGCACGTTGACTTCATCACCGGCGTTTTATTTCATCAGCTTTTCCTATTGCAAGAACGAAAGACGCCTTTGCATATCAGGCAAAGAAAAGATTGTGCATGCCGCATCAATTTAGCGAACACCGCCGAGTCGCCATTCCTTCAGTTGCTATCATTATTTCACGCTTTTTTGCTATTTGCTGAAATGACGGGTTTGCAGGCAGATGAATACCCATCTAATTCCATCGTGATTGGCATTCTTTCCCTGAAACTTGCCGTGTGCTGATACATTTTAGTTCAGAAAGGCTTTCCCATCGCCGTGGGAACCTGCATCAGATATTAGGGGGAAATGTTCTCTTCTAAAAGATAGGGCCCAATTAACTTATTCTACAGTGATACTGTTTCCCTTGGGTGTTATTATTATTATTATTATTATTATTATTATTATTATTATTATTATTATATGTAATGTTAGTTGCTGTTCCTACGTCCGTGGCCAGTAGTATTTTAACTGTTAGATTTTTCTGAACGTGTGAATTTAGTGACCCAGTATGGCCAATGATTTTTTCCATAGGTTTTCAAAAGAACCTCGATATTTTTGTTTCTTTTTTTTTCTTGAAATTCAGCAATAACATGCTGATTCTTAATAAAAAGTAAATCGTGAGAACGGTCGCCGGCGTTAAGAACTGCAGATGTAGTAACAGATAGCCTGCGTCCCATGGCAATTAATACAGGTTAGGGTTAGCGTGACGTAAACGGGTCAAAATCTAAGACACATCAATTGAAAACTAGTACTGGACCTGTAACACAGGGGACTCGATCTTTCCCACATGACGTGGGACCCTATAGAAAATCAAAAGGGATACGCTCTCGAGAGACCTACTCTTAGGGTTAACGCACAATCTTCTTCGTGCGTTTGAATTATGCAACCTCAAAGGGATAAATCAACCGTTAAAAGATACTGAAGCTTGAATGAGTTTAAATTTGGAAGGAAATCCAGTCCGCTAAGAAAACCTATTGTCGTTCCTCATTTTATCGTATATTTGCACTATATTTCCTGTTAACCGTAGCCTGTGCTAACCATAGGGGACGTCCCCGGACTTCATTTTATAAGGCCACCATTTCTGTCTCACCGGGATTTCCTTTTCATTTGCACATTGCTGTTGAAGACGTGGGAAGTATGTTGACATTAAGTGCACCATTTCAATCAATAAATCACCACAAGCCGGGGATCTTCTTCCCGGCTAGCATATTAATTTAACATCTCACTTTTCGTAGACATCATTTAATCACACTCAAAGTATAGGCCAGGAACGGAGCGTTTAGACTCGCAATGTAGCTTTTTTAACTCCTCGGGTTTGACAGCACTGCAGAAGTTTGCCAGTGTTCTGCATCAGGCACTATATCGTTCTATTTCTTAATCAGATATTTATCCGATTTACTGGCGTAATGGAATGTCAACTCCTAAGCCTAGCAATACATTGACTTCTCTTGTATTGGAACTGCTGTATTAGTAAGACTGATGAGCTATTTGACCCAAAGCTAAGGAAATAAAGTCAAATGCATATAAATCTGACTTCTCTTTTGAACAAAGAGGGAAATATATACATAAGAACTTAAGAAAAAATTGATATTAGAAAATAACGATTTTCCACATTATCCATCACAAACAATGATTACAATGAATATATGCGTGGGGCAGGAATGGATAAAGAGTTCTGCTTCAAACAAATGGTGACTGTTTTATATTTGGCAAGGCATCCGCCTCCTAGCGAAATCATGTAACCGTCAGTGAATGTATGCTGCCAACCCCCGGGGCTTCAAGTCTGTAGTGTCCTGGTAGGGATCCATTCTTAGGGTCCATTCCCAATGTAACCATCTTTCCACGCAGTCCAGTTCAACTCCGCGAGGACTCCCGCTGATTGCAATCACATTAACAGATTAAGACTGGGTTCCCATGCTTAGATCGATCCATTTGGATCGACCTAACTCCCTGGGGATGCACGCCAAATTGCTATCAGCTTAAGAGGCTAAAATGTCGGTCACGCCTACCGAATCAGCTAGGGGGGTAATTAACTTTCTTGCTCGGCCTCGCCGATAGCAGATAGCAATTTACTGAGACTACCCGTGGAGATAGATCGATCCAAATATCTGTGGAAATGGTCCCTTATACACCTCCACTGAATAGAATACAGATTATTCGAGTACGTTGGAAACAAGGGGAGGCGCGTTGACCTCTTACTCTAATTGCATTTAGTGAGAGTCTCCGCGGAGTTGGATCGATCTTCGTGGAACGCTATGTTCATTGGGAATGAGCCCTATGTATCACGTGCCATGTAAATATAAACAAACCTTGGTCGTGTTTTATTTTATTTTTTGTTTTGGTGGTAGGACGCGTGAATCTCCCTCTCTGGCAATAGCCATTGCTGTCAGGCATGTTAAAGGGAACATTCCCAGTCCCTATCGGGGATCGTTCTATCAACTTAAGTGGCTTAGATGTATGACACGCATACTAAAGCTGCTTGCGGGTAATTAATTTACGTTTAGCAGCTTCAGTACTTCCTGTTAGATCGATCTAGGTATGGGAACCCAGTGAAAGACATTCAGAAAGCTGTGTAATTATTTCATCTCTTACATACCTGTAATTCCTTCGGAAACGTTATTAAATATGAACTGTGGATCGATAACATCGCTTTTTAGAGAAAAGTAATTATGTTTCTACATGTACATCTGAAATTCCCAGAACTGTACGTGTTAGACACTATTTATATAGTTTGGAAGGCCAAATACCCCGGTCCCTCTCTCCAAGCCATTCTACTTGTTTTGCAGATGAGAGAGTTTTTTTTTTGAGTGTGTGTGTTTGAGCTTTTAGAGAGAGAGAGAGAGAGAGAGAGAGAGAGAGCAAATGATCTATATCTGCTTAAATCCTAATTTCAGACCTGTCCATGGCGGCGTTTTACGTCTTGCCGGATCTAATCCACAGAGTGACGGTGATATGGCACGGGACGGACGGACTTTGTAAACTATACAAGTTCATGCAGGTAAGTGTTCTGTGAACAGTGAGTGTCACTATAAAGTGAATAAAATGGTGATTTAAAGTCATTTACATATGTTTCACGTGTATTTTGATCATTAAGACGGTTAGCAGCAGGTGCGTTTCAATGTCGCCAGGTGTTGTGTATGACAAATGTACAAACGAGGGAACGCAGTGCACTGAGTTGTATGTGTTAGAGAGCATACAGAACAGCGGAATAACACATCCACGGATCAAATATGGCGACCCACTAAAAAGCTTGCCGCTTGATTCCCTATTAGACACTGAATAGATTCCCCGCGGGGATTACGCAACAAGTATTCAAGTGGGTCGGCCATATTTGATCTGCGGATCCGTGGAGGCGGGGAGACCATATGCGGATTAGTCGGTTCTTCTTTCACTTACACAACGCCGGACGTTGCAGACGATAGATCAAGACGTGGTGTCTCTCACAAAGTGTTAGTACTTAAAAAAAACTAATAAGTCTGAAAATAATGTATGTCACAAGAAGTCATTCAGACTAATGGCGAAAGACAAATGGCGAAAAAACGTCGGCAGAAGCTAGATCAAATCTTGATAAAGATCTGGTCCTTTTTTTGGTGTAACATGAATGGAAGTCCGGGCTCCAATATGATTAGTACAGGTTAGGGTTAGTTGGAATATTGGGGTCAGTATATGGGGCGAATGTCACCTGTGCAAAATTATGGGAAGCGGACTACGGTTCCTAGCGGACTTCCATTCCTGTTTCACAGGCCAAGAACTGAATTTCGGAAAGTGGTATAAAATTTAAAAAGAGTAGTGGTTCCGCCCGGGATCGAACCGGGGACCTTCTGCGTGTTAGGCAGATGTGATAACCGCTACACCACGGAGCCGACCTGTTATCTCCTGCCAGGCTCATTTCTCCTCTTTAGAGTGGGCTCATTATGTGCCTGACCAAAACAATATGGTTTTCATTTGCATATCTTAATAATACGATGCAGACTAGACATACATGTGAGATGCATGTCCTGTGATTACTAAAATCAAATCATCGCAACTAAGACTGACCAAATGCCACCTGGGTGTTTCTGTTAGTATGGCTTCAAGAAACAGCACAGAGTTTCATTACTTAATTGGATGTCTCGACAAGCAAAAATCACACAGATATTATATATGCTGACTTTTAGTGCTTTTCGGGCTGGAGTGGAAATAAATAGGTCAAATTTACGACTGAATTTAAAGAAAATGCAGTTTGACTGTCTTTTTTGAAATGCAGTTTTACTATCTTTTCCTGTTGCCTGTACTTTTTTTCTTCTTTTTGTATTTGCTCTTTTTGTGGATTTTGTTTGTGTTTTGTAAGAAATTGTACGATGCATATTATTTACTTTTGCTTCTTATGTATCTTTGAAGTTTGGGAAGTGATATAAAATGGTTCGCTCCGGACCCCCACAGCCAAGTTTACAGACCAGTCACATCACTGTAATTCGATATTTCTCACCCAGACTAAAAAAAAAAAAAAAAAAAAAAAACTCACGACGAAGATTCACGTAATGCTTCCAAGCATGGCGTTCAACGAATTAAAATTTCTTTTCACATTAAGCCAGCGAAACGGCAAGCTATTCACTTTAACTGAAACGACTCGGAAACATGATTACATTTGCTGCCCTTGGTTCGGAGTTGTCGCCATGCTGTCTTTCTGCCCGACATACACCGAGTTATTTCACTTGAAAAGGGCGACACGAAGTACACAGCACTAATGATCCAAAACTTGTATTAGAACGACATTATCGACTGTCGTCGCAAATTGTCATTAGGACACAATCTATTACGCTTTTTATTTTCGCTAGCGAACTGTCTGAAGTTTTAAGGGATAATAACTGTCCTTTTCGCCCCAATAAAATGGATTTTCCTAGGGCTGAAGTCAATTTTCCCATACTAACCAATGGTTAATGAATGCGTTCCGACTTTCAAAGATAATCCCTGGTTTTTATCTCAAAAGTTTGTTTTCTCTTTTTTATGTAAAAATATCTTAAGAGATAATTACAGAGAGTAGCCATCTGTGGAGGTCACGAGGCCCGATGGCAAGAACAAATTCCAGAATAATTGCGAAAACCGCCGTCTTGGTGGTAAAACAGAATGCTTTTTATATTTCTGTGAGTTGTTTATAATGAATTATTTTTCATTTTGAAATATGGATCTCATACGACGAGTTGTTATCCCAGCTCCAGTATCACTTGGACACGACTAAGTTGCATCTCTCAGTACTTTCTTCTCTCAATGAAAGGTGAAACCTTGATGCCGCACATATCGCTTTTGAAAACAACTGACGCCTCATGTTGCCTGAGGTGACATGAGTTTCATATTTACGAGGTAAAGCACTGAAGTTCTATAATTTAACTTCAAAGTGTTTTATCCCTCAAGTTGTTTTAAACAAAGACAAAGATGAAAATTGACACTGGATTTCGTAAGGTCCAGTGTGACAGTTGATTTCAATCTCACCTTTATCTTAGCCCTATCCATGTACTGTTATTTTTTTTATTTCTTTATGTTTATAGGTGCTATCCGCTTATGGCTCTACCTACATCATCGTTTCAATGAGCATAGACCGCCTGGACGCTATATTGTGCCCCATGAAATTCATCACCAAAGGTAAGTTGCCGTATAGAGCGGTTAGTGCCAGCATTTTCAAAAAAATAAAATAAAATAATAAAAATGATTATAATGATAAACACTATTTTTTAAGGACGTGTTAGGAGTCAATTTCACTCAAGAATCCCCCTTACAGGTGGACTTTTAATAATTTATCTTGGAAAAAAGTGTCCAAGTTTACTGGCGTATGGCCTTTTCAAGACCAACGTTTTGTTTTATTGTATAACTGGCACCAAAATACCACCGAGTGTTCAAGTTATGCCTTGATAATAAATCAAAGAACCCACAAAAGAAGACACGTAAAACCTTTTTGTCATAAATTTAAAAGATAAAAGAATTCTAAATGGNTATCTTACATACCTGTAATTCCTTCGGAAACGTTATTAAATATGAACTGTGGATCGATAACATCGCTTTTTAGAGAAAAGTAATTATGTTTCTACATGTACATCTGAAATTCCCAGAACTGTACGTGTTAGACACTATTTATATAGTTTGGAAGGCCAAATACCCCGGTCCATCTCTCTAAGCCATTCTACTTGTTTTGCAGATGAGAGAGTTTTTTTTTTTTGAGTGTGTGTGTTTGAGCTTTTAGAGAGAGAGAGAGAGAGAGCAAATGATCTATATCTGCTTAAATCCTAATTTCAGACCTGTCCATGGCGGCGTTTTACGTCTTGCCGGATCTAATCCACAGAGTGACGGTGATATGGCACGGGACGGACGGACTTTGTAAACTATACAAGTTCATGCAGGTAAGTGTTCTGTGAACAGTGAGTGTCACTATAAAGTGAATAAAATGGTGATTTAAAGTCATTTACATATGTTTCACGAGTATTTTGATCATATAGACGGTTAGCAGCAGGTGCGTTTCAATGTCGCCAGGTGTTGTGTATGACAAATGTACAAACGAGGGAACACAGTGCATCTGATTTGTATGTGTTAGAGAGCATACAGAACAGCGGAATAACACATCCACGGATCAAATATGGCGACTCACTAAAAAGCTTGCCGCTTGATTCCCTATTAGACACTGAATAGATTCCCCGCGGGGATTACGCAACAAGCATTCAAGTGGGTCGGCCATATTTGATCTGCGGATCCGTGGAGGCGGGGAGACCATATGCGGATTAGTCGGTTCGTCTTTCACTTACACAACGCCGGACGTTGCAGACGATAGATCAAGACGTGGTGTCTCTCACAAAGTGTTAGTACTTAAAAAAACTAATAAGTCTGAAAATAATGTATGTCACAAGAAGTCATTCAGACTAATGGCGAAAGACAAATGGCGAAAAAACGTCGGTAGAAGCTAGATCAAATCTTGATAAAGATCTGGTCCTTTTTTTGGTGTAACATGAATGGAATCCGGGCTCCAATATGATTAGTACAGGTTAGGGTTAGTTGGAATATTGGGGTCAGTATATGGGACGAATGTCACCTGTGCAAAATTATGGGAAGCGGACTACGGTTCCTAGCGGACTTCCATTCCTGTTTCACAGGCCAAGAACTGAATTTCGGAAAGTGGTATAAAATAAAAAAATAGTAGTGGTTCCGCCCGGGATCGAACCGGGGACCTTCTGCGTGTTAGGCAGATGTGATAACCGCTACACCACGGAGCCGACCTGTTATCTCCTGCCAGGCTAATTTCTCCTCTTTAGAGTGGGCTCATTATGTGCCTGACCAAAACAATATGGTTTTCATTTGCATATCTTAATAATACGATGCAGACTAGCCATAAACGTGAGATGCATGTCCTGTGATTACTAAAATCAAATCATCGCAACTAAGACTGACCAAATGCCACCTGGGTGTTTCTGTTAGTATGGCTTCAAGAAACAGCACAGAGTTTCATTACTTGATGTCTTGACAAGCAAAAATCACACAGATATTATATATGTTGACTTTTAGTGCTTTTCGGGCTGGAGTGGGAATAAATAGGTCAAATTTACGACTGAATTTAAAGAAAATGCAGTTTGACTGTCTTTTTTGAAATGCAGTTTTACTATCTTTTCCTGTTGCCTGTACTTTTTTCCTTCTTTTTGTATTTGCTCTTTTTGTGGATTTTGTTTGTGTTCTGTAAGAAATTGTAAGATGCATATTATTTACTTTTGCTTCTTATGTATCTTTGAAGTTCGGGAAGTGATATAAAATGGTTCGCTCCGGACCCCCACAGCCAAGTTTACAGACCAGTCACATCACTGTAATTCGATATTTCTCACCCAGAAAAAAAAAAAAAAAACACAACGAAGATTCACGTAGTGATTCCAAGCATGGCGTTCAACGAATTAAAATTTCTTTTCACATTAAGCCAGCGAAACGGCAAGCTATTCACTTTAACTGAAACGACTCGGAAACATGATTATATTTGCTGCCCTTGGTTCGGAGTTGTCGCCATGCTGTCTTTCTGCGACATACACCGAGTTATTTCACTTGAAAAGGGCGACACGAAGTACACAGCACTAATGATCCAAAACTTGTATTAGAACGACATTATCGACTGTCGTCGCAAATTGTCATTAGGACACAATCTATTACGCTTTTTATTTTCGCTAGCGAACTGTCTGAAGTTTTAAGGGATAATAACTGTCCTTTTCGCCCCAATAAAATGGATTTTCCTAGGGCTGAAGTCAATTTTCCCATACTAACCAATGGTTAATGAATGCGTTCCGACTTTCAAAGATAATCCCTGGTTTTTATCTCAAAAGTTTGTTTTCTCTTTTTTATGTAAAAATATCTTAAGAGATAATTACAGAGAGTAGCCATCTGTGGAGGTCACGAGGCCCGATGGCAAGAACAAATTCCAGAATAATTGCGAAAACCGCCGTCTTGGTGGTAAAACAGAATGCTTTTTATATTTCTGTGAGTTGTTTATAATGAATTATTTTTCATTTTGAAATATGGATCTCATACGACGAGTTGTTATCCCAGCTCCAGTATCACTTCGAAACGACTAAGTTGCATCTCTCAGTACTTTCTTCTCTCAATGAAAGGTGAAACCTTGATGCCGCACATATCGCTTTTGAAAACAACTGACGCCTCATGTTGCCTGAGGTGACATGAGTTTCATATTTACGAGGTAAAGCACTGAAGTTCTATAATTTAACTTCAAAGTGTTTTATCCCTCAAGTTGTTTTAAACAAAGACAAAGATGAAAATTGACACTGGATTTCGTAAGGTCCAGTGTGACAGTTGATTTCAATCTCACCTTTATCTTAGCCCTATCCATGTACTGTTATTTTTTTTATTTCTTTATGTTTATAGGTGCTATCCGCTTATGGCTCTACCTACATCATCGTTTCAATGAGCATAGACCGCCTGGACGCTATATTGTGCCCCATGAAATTCATCACCAAAGGTAAGTTGCCGTATAGAGCGGTTAGTGCCAGCATTTTCAAAAAAAAAAAAAATAAAATAATAAAAATGATAATAATAATAATAATAAACACTATTTTTAAAGGACGTGTTAGGAGTCAATTTCACTCAAGAATCCCCCTTACAGGTGGACTTTCAATAATTTATCTTGGAAAAAAGTGTCCAAGTTTACTGGCGTATGGCCTTTTCAAGACCAACGTTTTGTTTTATTGTATAACTGGCACCAAAATACCACCGAGTGTTCAAGTTGTGCCTTGATAATAAATCAAAGAACCCACAAAAGAAGACACGTAAAACCTTTTTGTCATAAATTTAAAAGATAAAAGAATTCTAAATGGAACTTAATTGAAAACGGAGATCATGGACAGGCAGTTGCCGCACCAACACCTTTCGTCGGGTTCAGATCCGGATTGAGAGAGGCCTTTTCTAGACTAACAGACCCAACATATCCACCAAACGTTCTGTGACATTTGTCACGGTGAGAGTACATCATCTCTTTTACCAAGAGTACATCTTCTTTAGGATAAAAATAATGGCGTCGAAGGTTAACTGCGGAGAGCAGCATGGGATTTATCTTCTTGACTGATTGATTTTGCCATCACATGTTATTACTTTGACAAGATCATTCTCAATGCCAATTTTGGGGATTTCTTTCAAATGTATTTCTAGTTGACAATTATCCTGCTTGGTTGCCGTATCTTTATAAATGTAATAAGCATCGCCCGCCGAGTTTGTGGGAATCTCTCAAATTAGCGAAAAAATTAAGCGATATTTAGCAGGATTTGGGGGAGAGTGGAATTATAAATAGTGGCAGAACGGCGATTTCGCTCCGACAACAAAAAAAAAAAAAAAAAAAAAAAAAAAGCTGACAGAAATCACCCACTGATAATTTTTTTTCCTGATTATAGTCTACTGTTTTCGTACATTTTGATGAATTGCAGTCTCCAGCGCAGCGGTACAAAGCCACCATGTTGCGTATGTGACTTTTGTGCAGTATTCTCAGTGCATAGGATTTCAACCCTTCTGCTTTAATGCGCACCCCGCACTGTGTGGTTTCTGACACTTGTCTGGTATGACGTCACTAAGTGCCACCGAGTGTCTTTAGGCTAACAGTATATGTGCCTCTGCTGGCGTGCGCTAGACGGTTGCATCACCAAGATTTACTGGTGACATTTGAAAGCAACACGCTGACATTAAGATTGCACCAGTAATTATTGACAAAATCTCGATCTTTATGTCAACGCGGTTTGTTTATGCGTCAAGATTCAAGGAGATTTATAAAAATAGGACTGATTTTACTGTTACTGTAAATATCCGGACAAGATTAAAAAATAGATGATAGAAACATCGCAAAAGAAAATTAGAATGACTTCTTGTTTTGTTACTCACCTGTTTTAAATACCTGAGCGATACTTTGCAATAAATGTTTTCCAGAAAACTGATCTTAAATTTTATATCAAAATTTCAGCCTTTTTTTGGTCCCAAGATAAACCAGTATTCTGTGAAATATAAAGATGTATATATCTTAATGTTGCCAAATCTTGGTAATATTTAACTTTAATATAAATCTTTATTCATACAAGCACACAATACACGATGAAAGAAAGTCGAAAACAAACCCTGGAAATCCCAACAACTTCCTTTTAATGAACAAAGTTAATCCCATTAAAATCATTAAGCCTATTACGATCAGTAAGCCTCCTGTCACGAGTTTCAAGCTTTAAAAAAATACATTTCAATTGCTAAGAGAAAAACTCACCAGTCTCCATCTCAATTACAAGAACCAATAAACACGAGGTCATTTAAGATAGCAAAATGTAACCATAATAATAGGGTAGGGTAAATCTCAAGGAAATTCCATAACAGGTATTTTCTGAGGCGAAATTTGATGCTAAACACAAATCTGACAATCTTTTTTTTAAAACAATTATTAAGGCCGATAAAATGACAATTTTCAAAATGGCAGCCAAAACGGCCCACCTTGTTTCATCAACAACGATTAGAGGTCCTATAGTGTATCATATGTCTTTTTTATGTTTTTGGGGTTGTAGAATCCATTTCTGGTGTTAATACTGAGATTGGTACATTTTACAGTAAGTTCAGTTGCCATGTCAGCTGACAGTTAACTGTCCTGCTGGAGTGAAGAGCCAGAATCTTCGAAAACGGGGAAATTAACCACCTCAGTCACCTTCATCAATCAAAATGAGGAGTGATAAGATTTCCCAAGATCTTTTGGATGGAAATTATAATGAAGAATCAATTAACCTTACCATAAAGTGAACATTTTTCTAAATTATTTCAATAGGATGGATGATACACTTTTGTTTTACATGTATGAAGCCGGAAGACATCCCTATCATAAGCTGAGGCTAGCAAAGCAGTTGCCAAGGAAATCTCCAATACCTGAATCTCCAAAATTATTTTTTCCTATCTTTGAGAAGTACATTCCCAACAGAAGTATGTTGGATTATGATATATTTGGGAAGTTATGAAGCATTAACCGTTGTGAAGTGCAAGGATTAAAAGTGATGATATACGAAAGTGAAAGATTTCAATCAAAACGTGACAAAGAGTGTTTATAATATAAGATTCATCGTGTATAAGTACAATGCTTTTTATATGTAGCCTCAATATGCAGTTATTCTGTTGAAATGTTCTCAAAGAATGTTCTTGGACATCCAGACATTGGATATTTCTCTGGCAACTTCTTTGTTGGTCTCAGTACATGGTAGTGATTGCTTCCCCGGCTTCTTACGCGCAGAACAAAAATATTCCATTCATCTCTTTTTAAAGACATTAACCCTTTGGTTGCCTGAGGTCACGATAACTATGATTCTTTCTCATAATTCACATCCAGCAGAACTTACCACTCTTCGTTTTGACTGACTGAGATCTGGCTCTTCTGTCAAGCTTGACAGTAAACTTTCAACCAACAAGGTGACCAAACTCCATTTAAAATGTAACAATGGCAGTGTTAACATAAGAAGAATATTTTACAACCTTTGAAATGGAAGAAAAGACATATTACAAACTATGGGTCCTTTAATTGTTGATGTTGAAACTATTGTTAGGGCGTTTTCTCCGCCATTTTGAAAATTGTCATTTTACCAACCTAAATATTGTCTGAAAAAAATAGTTGCACATGTGTGTTTAGCATCATTTTCTTCCATAGAAAACACTCACTTATTAGAAATTTGTGCTTCACTCAACCCTTTTCAATACAATTATATATATGCATATAATTACTACAGTTACTGTATCTGTAGTACGTATGCTTTGTTTGCGTTTCCAAAAATAGTAAAATAACCGACCTAAAGAGTGCTCCTAGCTCTAATTTCTCATCAGAAATGAACTTTTTGGCCCATTTTGCCTCTAAAATCACCTGTTCCTTAAGAGATTTCCATAAAAAAGTTATTATTAACCCTACCCTAATAATAACAATTATCTCTTTTTATCAGGTCGACGTGCAGTCATACTCGTGGTCACCGCGTGGGTTATGGCCGCCATTTTGGCCACACCCACCCTAATATTATTTCAAGAGATGGAGCTAGCCGATGGCCAGATGCAGTGTATCTCAACAATGTTCATAGACGTCTATAAGGCGCAGGTGAGATGATGGTGGTAGGACAACTGTGATAATCGCCATACCCTAATAATGATGTTATTCATAAATATGCATGTTGTGACGGTACATATTCGTACATGTATTTGCATACGTGTGTGTGTGTGTGTGTGTGTGTGTGTGTATTTACGTTGCAGAGGGACAGTTAAAGAATATGTGTAACCACACATGACGATTCACATAAAGCAATGCTGACGATTCACATAAAGCAATTAACTTTAGATAAGGGGAAATACTTGCATGGGTTGTAATGGTCTCTTTTCACCTCAATAAGAAAAATAAATAAATAAACGGGGGAGGGGGGCTAGTTCATGTATCAATCCCATTATTTTATTTAAGTATTGGTGAAATTATTATGTCGTCACGTACTCCAGTGTTCTGTCCAATGCCCCAGGAAACGTATTCGTATTTATGAAAGAAAACTAGCTGTGAGTTTATTTGTGTAATGGACCGTGTATTCTTCGTTGCAGGTTTACATGGTGCTGAATGCCACCGCCATGCTGTTTATACCCGCCATCTTGATCACGTGCTGTTATGTACTCATCGGCTATAAACTGTGGAAAAAGAGCGGCGGAACCACCGGAAACAGCTTTGCTTTCACTGATAGAAGTTCGAAAAAAGTCCGACACAGGTACTTGTCAACACGCAATCTAGTCATCAGTTGTTTACTAGGCAGCTTTGAATTTTAATTCCTTCTTTCACATCCTACATCATGCAATGAATCACTTCATGGTACGATGCCATCATTGAATGTTGTTCTTTTTTCTTTTTGATGCTTCACTATTCAGTGGTTAGGCTTACTACGTAAAGCGTCATGGCTAATTTACCTCTGTATCATGCTGACTAAAAAACCTGTCATCAACACCGAGATTTTGCTATTTTGTAAAAAATGGCTTCGGTGACATGTAGAACTAAAATGATGTGGATTGATTGTGTCTTTGGAAGAAAGGGTTTCTGTCTGGTTTGTGTCGTAGATAACAGGTTACTAAGTGAAATGGACTGTTATCTTTTAGTGTCCCTCAAGTGCAGTTCCATTGGGAAATCACAGTCGTTTTTCTATTTGTCTTCAACACAACACGTTCTTGCATGAACATTGTCCGTTCTCACTTTAAAGAAAACAGGTCGGTACATGTTGACTTCTACGTGCTATATCAATATTTGAAAACGCTCAAATACTATTCAACATGTCACAACTTGGGCTATTCATGCGTTATTTTTCACAGTGCTTGCTCTGATGAAAAGTTCGATTCTCGTTGGTATTCATGCTTAGTTACGTTAAGTTAAACAGCATGCGATGAATACATGTACTACATGTTTTAAACTCCTTCCAAACCACCCAAAACATAGCACTCACACGTTTGCGTACACTGTTTAAAATGTCAGGCATTCTCGACATGCTAATCATGATCGTTTGCGCCAAATTATACTCTAGGCTAGTATGTGGGTTCAGGACAGGAGGCAAGTGATCTCATCATTTTTTATCAATTTGTATATATTGGAGCAGCTGCCTCGTTCAATTTCCTGTGCACGGTTACAATGTTTCGGGAATATTTGCCACGTTCCAAGAAGACCATTTCGTTTCCCATTATAAGAGAGGGACAAGTTGCTTTAGACAGACCAAAGTATTGAAATGAAGCACGATATGCATTCAGTAAATTAAGCTTTCTCAGCATATGCTGCACTCTATTATGTCTGTACATATGTAAACTGTCTGAGCATGTACAATATTCTATGGACGGTACATATACTGTAAACATGCATGTCCTAAGTTTCAATAACAAAGACGTTATTATGAACACTATATATTCAGCCTCAATTACTTTTTAAAACCACGTGCTGAAATAAGTGATCACTTTTATAAAGAACACATATTATGTTGTTTTTTTTGTCTTAATGTTGGAACCATTGCAAAGTCTTCAAGAAATATACTGTTGTGTTTATCAACATAGGAAAAAAATCGCAATGCAAAAGAACTCGCACTTGTATACAATAACACTTCCTCGCTTAAAATAAGACCTTTATGTGCTGAAATAGTATTGAACGAACAAATACAGAGCCTCTGGAAGGGATTAAAACATAATAACCCGTCTTCCTAGGGTGTATTTTATGTACCTTATCTAACCGAAGCCAATGCAATATTTCAATCTGCGCTGAAATTATTGAACAGATCAACAGAATGCACGGGTAATTAGCTGCTCAATTCCCTTGGATGATGCCTTTTTTCTTTTTTTTTCTATCCCCTTACATCTGGAAATCGAACTTTAAAAAAAAATTATGCTGAGCAAGTATAGTCAATATTCTGGTAGACTTTTTCAATAACATAACTGCATACTCTGGCATCAGATAGCGGCTACGTTTCAGAAACTGTTTCTTTTTTCTAATTTGTTTCGTTGTTTTATTATGCCATTATGACTGCCAATGCTCCTCTAGTGACTCATTTCTTATTTATTATTTCTCTCTTTCTTTCTGCCAAATGATCTAGAGGTTAAAACATTTATTTTCATGAACACATACATTAAACCAGACATTGTGTAACAACCGAACACAATTATCATTCCAATTCGCAGAGCACATAAAAGAATTCCCGGACAACGGTGCATCAATATTGTAGGTTGGCCTCGCTTGGTGTTTTATTATTGCAATAACAACCCTCCTACTTATCCTGGGGCAGGGCCAGGTGAACATGGATAACTTGAGATAAGTTAATGGTACAAACGCAGTGCCTTAATCAAGTTATCTCATACATAATTCCCATCCTTCCAACAGTTTCACCTTCTTATTTGTCGTGGTTATTGGTTTTCCCGTCTATTGGATATCGCTCATTGTGAGGTACTTACGTTATTTATTGTGAGCGAAATGTCGCACCTGATGCCGTGACGTAACAAACACATTATTGACGATATACAGTGCAGCATACTATTTTGTTATTGACGGACACATCAAGAGTCTCTTTATCTACTGTTAGTCATCTTATCCAGTCCCTAGACATTATCACCCCAACCCAAGTTTGATATCATTTACGTCTTGCGGCAATTCGATTATTTTGTTAAACGTAGTATATTTAAAGACCAAAACAAATGATGAAACAACTAATATTGACAAAAAGCCATTTTTGCCATATTTCACAATTTTAGTCTTTTCTCTTTCAGAAGACAATTTACAGCGAAAAAGTTTCTTGCGTCACCGTGAGTGTCAGCAGAGCTCTAGTGGACTGGTGCCACATGCCCGGATGAGGGCTATCAAGATGACATTTGTCATCGTCATTGGTAGGTCTCGAGGACCGACTGAGTGCTGTGTGCTTGCACGTGTGCCCATGACACGGTTCCCATATCTAGATTGCTTTGAGTTTAAGCGGCTTAAATACCTTTCACGCCTACTGCTAAACGATAATCAATTAGCCCCTAGCAGCTTCAGTAGGCGTGACAGACACCTAGGCCACTTAAGTTGATTGCAATCTAGCGAGAATCCCCTTGGAGATAGATCGGTCCACAGTTAGAACGATAGGGTCTGGGAATGGTCCATATGTGTTTGAGTGTGTATGTGTGCTTGTCTATGCGTGCGTGCGCGCGCGTGCGCGCGCGTGCTCGTGTGTATGTGCCATCTGGTCAATGTCTGTGCGGGTAGAAGTATGAGCAGGCCTGTATGCGTATAAGAGAGAGAGAGAGAGAGAAGCGAATGTACATTAAAAACAGAAAGTCATGTTAAATCTGCCAGCATGAATGAGTTTGATTTCTATGCGGAGTTTTATTTCTATTCCAGTGCAAGCGTGTTATAACTGTTACTGGATCTTTGCTATTTTCTGTACACTTCCCTTATCTAAATGCCGTTGTCATAGAAATGATATTCAAGTAATAGCTGTAACCCATCTGTCGGTTAAAAGCACTTAAATTGACTGCGGATCCCTTTTCAGGGCTCATTTCCAATGAAACTATGGGTTTATACGTAGATCGATTCAACTCTGTGGGGACTCTAGCTGAAAGCAGTCAGTTTAACAGATTAGCCGTCTCTTGACGTTAAGCAGAATACAGAACAGCTGGTTATTATACGAGTACTTTGGAAATAAGAGGTGGCTGATTTTAATGAGCGAGTGCCCTTGCCGAATTGGATAGATCTGCGTAGACCGTTAATTTCGATGCCAATGAGCCCTTATTTATTTTTTTTTTTGTTGATAGCGTGTTTAGCTGGTATTTGTGTCCAGACATGTATTTGACGTCAGCTAAGTCAGGTCAATAGGTCAGGTCACTGACCTTTGCATAATACCGCGTGAGTTTCCTTAAACCCTGCTCTTTTCAGCTTTCCTGGTATGTTGGAGTCCATACTTTATCTTCAACTTAATGTTTGTCTATGGAGTCTACCTAGAACAAAACCACATGGCGGTGGTGAACTTTATCCAGAGCTGCGCACCCCTTAACGGCCTCCTCAACCCTATCATCTACGGCATCTTTAACACCACGGCCTGCGCGCAGTTGAAGTGAGTACCAGAGCCATCTCATTTTTACGACGTTGGGAAAAGGGTGTATTAAGACCAATGGTTTTAACATTTACCTCAAAATGTAAAGTCTTAGAACACAGGGGGCGAGGGGAATACTTTGCCAATTGGGGAATACTTTCTCAGTTTCATGAACAAATGGCTAATATGATTACATATTATTATTCATAGATCATTTTTCTTAAATGCCTGCTCGATAGTTATATAATGAGAGCATTATATCATGGGAATGCGGTAAATGTCATTTTTTACTATTACAATTTTCATCTTAGGCAAAACATATATCTGTGCAATGTGAGGCTCTGAATGTAATGCAAGTTTATTTTAGTCACATTCTTTAAAGTCTACTTGCCATGCACTGTGAACAAAAGCTTAAAATTGGAAGGGGTATATTGCAAAAGGTTTCTGTAGCGAATGACATTTGTCTTTTCAGAAATAGATTGAGGAAGGCGTGTCCACGTCAATGGCAGATGCAGCTCATGCGAAATTACTCAACTAGATCAACTTACGACACTGCCCTCGCCACTGACACTCCGTCCATTACTGTATGACGTCATATCACAGCGTTACGTCATATCACAATATGACGCCACATCATGTTGCAATTCTGTTTAGTAACCGAGAGATGCTCATGCTCATTTCAAAGGGTTGGCGCTTCGATGGGTTTTTAATTTATCATACGATTTTATTCAAGGTACCGGGCAATGGCGTGCTACGCATAATAAACTGACTGCGTTCAAGCAGCATTTGTTGATGGAATCACCTACACATAGTATAACAGAGCCGTTAGGAACGTACTACATGAAGATAACCAGGAAAAAGTCTATATGGAAGTAATGGATATTGGACATCTTTCTACCAGGAGCATCAAATCAAAGAAAAATGGATATGTGATCCGACTCAAGAAAAAATGTGTCTTATACATAAAAACTCACACATTACTTTCATAAAGAAACATGTTTTTGTCATAAAGGTATCATAACACTGCAGATTGTGATGTCACACCTAGCACAATGATGACACGTTATGCAGGACAGGACGTCGCATCTCACGTATAAAATATAATCAAATGTCACATCTCACAAAATGGATAATTAATGTCTAACACAACATTGTCACCAACTGTAGACTCGGATGTCACATCTAATGCAATGGTACTTTATTCTAAGCCCCCATATTCAAATTATTAATTTTACATTTCAATAAGTATGACACTACATATAATACAATGGGGTGATATCGAAAAGCCAAAGAGGTCGTGCCTAATTTAATGCTGTCACGCTTCAAAAACTTTGACGTTAGATCTGATGCAATAATGTTATATACCAGCAAAAAAGTACTGTACATCCTAAAGGGAGTCACATGAAGCGAAGGTAACCCATATATGATGTCAAACAGCAATGCTAAGGAATTTATCGGATAGAAAAATATCATTGAAGTGGACGTCGCATATAATATCAGATAAAGGACGATATAAAGAATAATATACTTCATCTAAATATAGTGGAAATGTCGCATATGATTGTAATTCTGCTGCATAATCTGCACAGAAAAACATTAAAATTTTTACATTGTGCTTTCACGTCAATAATGTATAAAACGTATTTCTAAGAATCTTGATGTTTCATTTATATCTTAATTCTAAAACACCTCTTGACGTCATTAATAAAATGCCTGTATTCACTCTTAAGATTCATTGTATAACTCGTGCACATTTTGCGCGAATACTCACTAAAACGATCCTTACCTAGAAAAAAAGTGACGTCATGGATATGTCATGTGTCAATAGGCCTCAGAATATATTTAAATACTTGTACAATGAAGTTCAGGCTTTAATGCCTATTACTATCACCATCATTTTTACTGATAAAGGGTCAAATGTATTACGAAATTAAACGACAAGTAAGACAAGCGATCAAGCACGTATTAGATGGCGCAATGTCTTTTAGCTAGAAAATATTTCTTGTTTTCAGAAACAATTTACTTTTTATCACCCATACACAATTAAGAGACAACATAATGAAAGATCACAATAATATAACCATTTTTCATACAACGTGTATCTCAACTAACACGTTTTAAACACGTCAGTACCAGTCTAGTGTAAAGTTAAAAAGACGAGCGTCAAGTTCATAATGTTGCCATATTTTCCTGATATCGCTTCGAGAAATTTCAGTAAAATATTTCTTCCAAACTGCAGAGGAAGAGGCTGGGAAATCACCTTCAGGATACGTCAACTTGTCGTCCATTCCTATCAGCTTCAGCATTATGTTTAGATCTGTGCCTTGAGATTCCAGTCTGGCGATGACGTCATAATGAATCTGACATGGATCACATAATCTAATGTAGCTTTCCCAATGGGGGTTATAAGCTTTGTTTGGGTCAAGAGAGATGAGATAATCAATGAAAGCCTGAAAAGAGACACCTTCTTTCCCAGTTAACATACCTGGCGTCGGGTTGGTTTCAAACCCCTTGGCAATATATATAGCTTCCCTTGTAATGGTGTTACTTTTACCTTCCAATTTACCTCTGTATGCCGATACCAGGCGCTCCAATGGATGACGAACGACGATCACCTTCAAATAGGTCTCCAACCGTAATTTAGCTCCAAACGAAGAATACTGACTCAGTCGAGGAAGGTAGCGTTTGTAAGCAAACACCTGCTTATCGGACCCAAAATTGTGGAACTTTTTCATATCCACGTTCCCCGTTAACGCGTAAAGTAGGCGTTTACCATTGGTGCAGCCGACTTTAGGCATTGAGCACATAATAAGGCGGTGCTTATCATCCACATAAAGGAATGGGGGAAAGCCTGTCCTGGCACTGCTGCCATCTACAGAGCGTTTGGTCTCTCGACAAACGGTTTCCGTGTGTTTCACGCGACGTTCCATCTCTTCCCGCCAGTTTTTAGGGACGTTCAACCAGGATGAATGCCTATCCTGGAAATAGAATCAAACGTGTGTGTGTGTGTGTGTGTGTGTGTGTGTGTGTGTGAGTGAGAGAGAGGGAGAGAGAGATAAAGAGTGAGAGAGAGAGAGAGAGAGAGAGAGATTGGACAAAGACTGCTTGCTTGTTTGTAATGTGCAAATCCATTTAATTTTCGGAAAAGTTATCAAAATTCATTTAAATATATGAGATCATTTTGGTCACCTAATTCACGTTCTGGAGACAATATTTCAAATGATTTCTTTCTAAGTTGACACATACTTACTATTAGCTTGTTAAGCCATAGCCCAAGATAAGGAAGCAAGTTGAAACATGTTTAAGGTAAAGACATGTAGATACACTAGGATCTATTTTCTTATCCGCTTAGCTAATGCACAAATTTACATTACCATGATTTGAGATAAGGCTGTCACTTAAAAACACAGAAAATTTTGCCAACTGGATCTGATGACGTAACAACGTCGCTTCGCGGTAAAAATTTTATTTCGACTAGATATCCCTCCCAAGCACAGCTATCCTCACTCATTTTACGCAATTTTACCACATCCTTAACTACTACATATCTTTTCCAAAGGCCTGAGTCTGTTTTTATCAGTAAACAGGCAAGAAATTCAAAAGCAAAAGACTGTAATTAAAATTTTGTCGTGAACCATGCTTTTTTATTATAATATCTTATTTAAGTCTGGAGTTTCGGGAAAAAAATCTTCCCTAGTTTACGCCAATTTATGGCACATTCACAATCAAAGTTGATCCGAGGACCAACAAAATTAAACACTTACGAATAAAACCAATTCGTTGTTTTATGCAGGGAATATATTCAGATTCTTTTAGGGTATTTTGCGGCAAGCTTTCAAGTGGGAAGGCCATGTTTGATTCGCGGATCTATTAGTCTGAAATCAACTTGTTCTGAATGCGCCAATTTAGAAAGCAGTTAAATTGACAATAAGGGGACGGAGGTTAAAAACAGTTTAGCGCATGAATGGTGCATAAAACAATGAATAGGGGAGTTTTTGTTCTGAAGGTTTTAATTTTGTTATAGATATATCTAGAAATTATTTTACATAAAAAACGACAATAAAAGCTATTTTGTACGAATAAGATCGTGGTAAAGTACCGATCTATCTAAGTTGAAATCTTAAAAAAATAGAAAAAAGGAAAGAAAACATAAACTCACTGATAACATTGCAGCTCGTAATTTTATAAAAGAAAAAAAAGGTTGAAAACTGTAGTTGTAGCGGGTTGTTTTTACACTTTGTCAAACCTAATAAGAAAATGCATTGGTGACCTCATATCGGAGGCAGTATGCACCGGCATGTCATGCCAGCCATTTTATTTTGTCTATCCATTTTGAAATATTGTATTCCATATTGAAATATTTGAAGAAATTATAATGGTATTAAACTAAACAGGCAATGCGGCCAACAATATGCATGTGTGGATATGAGACTGTGATTGACATCCAGTATACCTGAAGTTGACTCTTTACACTTGCACGCATGCATACACACACGCAAGTACACACACACACACACACGCACACACAAACTCGCAATCACACCCTTTAATGTAACTTACATATATTCTTGTCGGTGGCTGTGATCTCCCAGGGTCGGAACCTAGAATGAGAGTTCTTGATTTAGTAGTTTAGCGAGAATCCCAGTAGTGATAGATCAATCCAGCTAGTACGATGGGTTTATGATAATGCTGTCTAAGGTAAAGACATATTACACCTAAATAAAACTAGGCAACAATTACCTAAATGCCTGTAAGATTGAATGCGGTTGTTTTATGGAAAAAAAAATCAATTATTTAACTATGTTACGATATCTATCAGCTAGTGTGCGTTTCTATATACTGTAGAACACAAGCAGGATATATGTACGCGCGCGTGTTCGTGTCTTTATGTGTATATTTGTGTGTGCGCGTTTACATGTATGTGTGTGTGTGTGTGTGTGAGAGAGAGAGAGAGAGAGAGAGAGAGAACGACACCTGGGAGCGCAATCACCTGTCTGCTTCCTCATAATCCAGAGTTGTAGACAATACATCAGGACAGCACCAAATACAAACCACACTAGCTTCTTTAGTGCCTCCATTGAAAAATTTATTCGGTTTAGCCCCTGGTTCTCTAAGGAAGAAATACCTGTCAGAATTGAAATTCAGTATGGAAAAATTGGATCCTACTGCTAACAACGAGTTAGATCGTTTGAATACCTTATCGTCAGAATATTATTAACCAAGATTAAAATTATTGAACGTCCATGCAAAAAATTATGCAAAATTATATTCTCCACCAAACGGTTCTGAGTGAATACCATTTAAAATAGACATTTAAAAAACGGCAGGTACAACTTACCACTTCTGACGTTGCCTATATAGGTATATTCAATCTTTAATATCTATATCATGAATTTTTTATAGTATAGGATAGAGGTGCCGCTTACATCATCAACTGTGCTGCTGTATTCATGGACACTTGATAAAATATAACTAAGACATAGGAACTTAATTTTATTGTTTAGAAAGGAGATCCATATTCAAATAAGCTTATCTTGTTCATAAGACTTTTCCTTGACAATACAGCCTGCTGTTTTCGCCCCCACCCCTAGACTCCACCCCGACCTCCGTAGAAGCTTCGTAAACTCTTTTACATCATTCTCCCCTCATATGAAAATAAACACACACACACACACACACACACACACACACACACACATGAAAAAAGTATAGCATCTAGCGCATAGAGGAGTGTCAGACCTTTCCATTATTTGTTCCCATTGATATTGTTGAGTCTGTTCCCTCCTATATTTAATATTTATGTAATTATATAAGCCAACCATTTATCATATAACTTGCTTCTGTCTTGAATGGGTATTAACCATTTATATGTAGGTGTGCTGGTAGAGATATGTGGATGCCGGTCTAACGTTACAGAGTCCATAGATATAAAAGCACTTTATTTTCTGGGATAGCGGGTTGTTTTGGGGGATTGTTCGAGGATTCTTGGTATTGTCAGGGTGGGGATTGTCCTAAAATCGTGGGGTGGTTTGGAGTGTGTGCGTGTGTGTGTGTGTGTGTGGGGGGGTCAGGTATAATGTTTTGTCTTGATTTGTTAGACATATATTTTGAACCGTCCGATATGACATCCACTTTAATTTTAATATAAAAATAGATTTTCTTAATTTCAGTGTATTAATTCCCATCAAGGAATTAACTCAAAATCGTCTCGGCATGATTCCAGATCCGACTCTATCTTTCCTCTGCACGTGTACAGAGACACATCAAAATAAAAACAATCTCACATCTTCAGTTCCTATTGAAAACCCTTTCATCAGTATTTGTACAGTATTCACATTTTATACACTTGACCTAAGCGGAACCAATGCGCGGGCAAACGTTACTTCAAATGATCTACATACTTATTGTGCAATGTTACGGATGAGGGTTCCTACTTCCTAATTTTGTCATAGAATTATCGTAACACTTAGGAGATTGTGATGTCACACCTAGCACAATGATGACACGTTATGCAGGACAGGACGTCGCATCTCACATATAAGATGCAATCATATGTTACATCTCACATAATAGATGAATGACGTGTATTACAATATTGTCACCAACTGTAGACTCGGATGTCACATCTAATGCAATGGTGCTATATACTAAGACAAACCAATGATGTTACAATTCAATTAGTATGACACTACATACACGTATAAT